AAAAAAAGAAAAAAAATTTGATATGAATAAAAGATTTATATAATAAAACATATAGAACCTACAGAATATATAGAACATGCAGAACATATAGAAATCCTATTCAAGTTTTCCTTTAATCCTCATACACACATGCATGTACTTGTGTTTCAGTCTACATTGTTATTTGCAGTCAGTAGTATGAGTTGTATCTTTCCAGTCTGTTCTGTGTATTTACAAAACCATAATAGCTTTTAATATGTTAGCTTATGGCTAGTGTACATATTTGTAAATAAATGAGGACATTGAATATGGGTTTTTCTGTACCTTGCTTTTTTAGAGGACACACGTGTATCTGTATCCCTAGTGGTAATTAGATTATTTCTACCTCTTGATTTATTTTATTTTTGTGGTACTGAGAATCAAACTTAGGGCCTCGTGCACACTAAACAAGTGCTGTGTCACTGAGCTAGATCCCCACCCTAGTACATTGCTATTATAAATAAGGAAACTTGGATATCCTCGTTTGTATATATCTCTGCACATGAGCAAGTAGTCTTCAAGAGAGATTTCTAGAAATGGAAGTTGTTGAATGAAGAATATGGACACTTCAATTGTGTGTGTATGTGTGCGTGTGTGTTCACGCACATACGTGCTAGTCCTGGGGTTTGAACTCAGGAGCTAGGCCTTCTCACTGAGCTTCTTTTGCTCAGGGCTAGTGCTGTACCATTTGAGCCACAGCTCCTTTATTAGTGGTTTATTGGAGATAAAAGTCTCATAGACTGCTGCACAAGCTGCCTTTGAACCATAATCCTGATCCTCCTGAGTAGCTAGGATTACAGGTGTGAGCCACTGATACCCAGCAATATTTCAGATTTTGAAAGCAATTTTATTAAGCCTTCTCCAATTTACATTCCCAAAACAATTCATGAAAATACCTATTTCCTGAAAACTTCATGTAATTGCTATTCTTTCATTTTGTTTTGTTTTTTTGTCAGTCATGAGGCTTGAACTCTGGGCCTAGGTCAGCTGTCCCTCAGCTCTTCAGCTCAAGGCTAGCACTCTACTACCATACCATTTTGTTTTTTCTGGTGGTTAATTGGAGATAAGAGTCTTGCAGACTTTCTTGCCCGGGCTGGCTTTGAACTGTGATTCTTAGCCTCCTGAATAGCTAGGATTATAGGTGTGAGCCAGTACTCTGCTCTAGTAATTGTTATTCTTAAGAGGCTTATTGATAGTATCTCCCTGAGCCTGAGGTTTCTCACATTTTTTGTGTTGGTTTTTTAGCCTATCATTTTTTTTTCACTTTTTTTTTTCTTGAGGTAGGGTCTTGTGATCTCACTTGACTTTCTGCTGGTGCTCTACCACTTAAGCCATGTATCCAGTCCTCGTTTTTTTTTGTTTTTGGATGGAATTAGGATGTTGGTAAGTAAGACTATATTTTGGAACACTTTGAAGAATGATATGATTAACTCTCTCTACTAAAGAACACATCTGATATTTTGTATCAAAATGTCTGTTTACAAGTGGGGGGCATACTGGTGGCTCATGCCTGTAATCCTACCTATATTCAGGAGGGTGAGACCTTTTGAAGAGTGTTTTGAGTCATACTGCGAGGCTTGTTAGAAAATGATCTCTGAGTCTTGAAATTGAATGTTATACAGATTCCTTTGTACTCTATATAAGATAGTCTATCCCTAAGTAGTAGAAGGAAAGCCACATTTTATTTTTATTCACTTCTTATTTTTTCATACATTTGTTGCATCAGTCAGTGAGTCAGTGGGTATTTATTGACCCCTTCAGGGGACAAAATAATGCTTTGGTTGAGCTATTGAGTTTGAAATATTAATCACATTATTAAACCAAATCCCCAAATAGTTGAAAGTGCTATTCATGTTGTCAGGATATGGTTCCTGTAGACTGTATTTTGTGATGATGGGCTTTTACTTTATAATGTATGTTCCCACCTGGACAGGAACAAAAGTTCAGTTAAATAACTGAGGTGTTATATTTTACCAATATGAAGCATGAAGTGGTCCTTGATTATTAGCTTTTTTCCTGTCCAACTGTTGAAGGATTGTGTGGTAATCACTGCATCTTTTGGACCTTGCAACTTGGCAGGACTAGGGTAAAGAACAACACGCACCTTTTCCTCTTTGGCATTAGTTTAAATTGGGCAGGGGTATTATTGTCACCTCCTGAATCTGAACCTCATCCAAGGTACTGTGAGCTGACAGGTGCTTTTAATATTTCAACTGTAGAACTTGGGAAGGAAGCATCCACTTCACATACTGTGTTTTCATTGATTTTTTTTTTACTCTTTTCCTTCCAGATATCTATGTTAACTTCTGCAGTAAATCACCTCAAAGCCAATGTTAAGTCAGCTGCAGACCTAATTAGCCTGCCCACCACGGTAGAGGGACTTCAGAAGGTATGTGCTAAGTACAGGTACTGAGACTGATCTACTGATGGGATTCTAGCTCCTTATAAGTTTCGTTCAAAAGCCTGTCCTTCCCAGGGGTCAAGTGAGAAAGGGCAGGCTTTTGTGGCCTCCAGTACCTAAGCAATTTTGACAGTATTACATTAGGAAAGGAAATTGATCTGTCCTTGCATTCATTAGTTGAGTAAACATTTGTAGAGCTTCCTCCAGGATGTACAAGGCACTTTGCAGATAATAGGAATATTAGTTTCAGGGTTTCATTGCTGAGTTTACATGGCTCTGTCAGCTGCTGCTTTAAAAAAAAAAAAAATCCCTGAACAAGAGCTTACTATCTTGGTGCTATTCTAATGGGCTCATACATCCAGCAAGTGAGAATTTCCTAACAGTAGGTATCTGTGAATGCTTGTAGCTTTTATAACAACAGGGCTTACACAGCATCCCAGCTTAGAAACTTCTACCCTGTACATTGTCTCTTTGCAAAGCCTCGCATTAATAATGCTGGGCACTGCTTTATATGGCTTATATTTAAGTATTGAAGTAGCAAATCAGACCAGATATGTAACTTTAATGTATATAATTTTTTTTCTTAATACTGAAAATGTTACCTCTTGTTCTGTTGGATTCTTCAATATCAGTAAAACAAAAAATTGTCATGGTTAAAAATAATAATGTGACAATGGATTGTCAGCATATCTCAATAAAAGGCTACAGCCCATCATATAGTAGCGCTTTTTTGGATGTTCCTTAGGACAGAACTTTTTTAAATGACTTCCCAATATACTTGGGTTTCTTAGTTCTAATGAAAGCAAAGTAACTTAATCCTCTAAGACCTAATTCTGTCCAATAGTTGCTGAAAAAAATCTAGAGAAGAGGAATAACTGCCAAGTAGAATTTTTTCTTAATCTCTGTAATACTGTTTCCTAGAGCCAATAATATATATTGCCTCATTTTGTTCAAAAGTCATCATTCAGCCGGGTACCAGTGGCTCACACCTGTAATCCTAGCTACCCAGGAGCTGAGATCTAAAGGTTGCAGTTAGAAGCCAGCTGGGTCAGGAAAGTCCCTGAGACTCTAATCTCCAGTTAACCACCAGAAAACCGAAAGTAGTATTGTAGCTCAAAGTGGTAGGGCACTAGCCTTCAGCAAAAGAGCTCAAGGGCAATGCCCAGGCCCTGTGTTCAAGCCCCATAACCACCACCAACAACAATAAAGTAAAAATTCACTCCTGACCCAGTGGGCAGTCTACAGACTTGGCTCTAGCCATCTGTTTACTGCAGGACTTAAGAGGGGTAGTTTAAGGGAAACCTTATCTATGGGTCCCAGATTTATAGGTCCCAGATTTATGGGTCCCTGATTTGTGAACTTTAGGAAGGATTTGGTTTTCCTCTGAGAAAAATCATTTAAATCCAGAAGATAGCTTAGATTTTTATGTATAGGAAACTATTTAAATGTACAAGGGGAAACATGTATTTCCTATTCTCATTCAGCTGGGCATGGTAGCTGACACCTGTAATCCTAGCTACTCAGAAGACAGGGAAAGGTAAATCACAGTTTCAAGGCCAACATGAGCATATATACATGTATGAAAATATCACAGTGAAAACCCTTTGCACAAATCATTACAATAATAAAAATAAAAACATGGGAAGGCTGGGGATATTTTCCCATGTGATAGAGCACCTGAAGACCTGAGTTCAATCCCCAGTACCAAAAAACAACTATAACAACAATAATAGTAATTAGATGAGTGTTTTGTGTAAATTAAAATTATAGGATAGCAGTACACTTTACTAAAATGGCTAAAATTGGAGACATCAGTATTCATGAATATAAAGAGTAATGGAAACTCTCTTAACACTACTGGTGGGACTGCAGAAATGGTAAAAATCTTTTCAGAAGATCGTTGGCAGGTTTCTTTTTTCTTTTTTTTGTTGGTGATGGGGCTTTAACTCTCGGCCTGGGTGCTGTCCTTCAGCTCTTCAGCTTAAGGCTAGTACTCTACCACTTGAGCCACAGCACCACTTCTGGTTTTCAGTGGTTTATTGGAGATAACCATTTCACAGACTTTCTTGCCCAGGCTGGCTTTGAACCTCAATCCTCAGATCTCCTGAGTAGCTAGGATAACAGGTGTGAGCCACTGGTGCTCAGCTTTCTTTTTTGTTTGTTTTTCCAGAAGGCAAGTATAAGCTAGGCACCAGTGACACACTCGTTAATTTTAGCTACTCAGGAAGCTGAGATCTGATGATCAGAGTTTGAAGCTAGCCCAGGCAGAAATATCTGTAAGACTTATCTCTAGTTAACTACCAAAAAGTTAGAAATGAAACTATGGCCTAATTGATAGAGAGCTAGCCTTGAGCCAAGAAACTCAGAAACAGCTCCCAGGCCCTGAGTTCAAGCCCCAGAACCAACACACCAACACACACACACACACACACACACACACACACAGCTGTCATACCAGCCATACTGGCCTTTTACAAGGTCATTGCCATTCCTGAGATACTTGATATTAGCTCTGCCATAGGCCCAGGTTATTGTAGCACCTGGGTGAATAGTCTCTACTCAGAGCTTGTTGTCTCTTTCAGTCCTGGCCAGTTATTATCAGTGGGAATTCAGCCTCCAGGCTGAAAGGTAAACCACATAATTGAAAGGGGCCTATATTGTCCACTAAATTGGCTTTGGGCCTCTTGTATGCTTTTTTTTTGCCAGTCCTGGGGCTTGAACTCAGGGCCTGAGCATTATCCCTGAGCTTCTTTTGCTCAAGGCTAGCATTCTACCACATGAGACAAAGTGCTACTTCCAGCTTTTTCTGTTTATGTGGTACTGAGGAATCGAACCCTGGGCTTCATGCAAGCACTCTACCACTAAGTCACATTCCCAGTCCTTCTGTACTTATTTTGTAAGAATGTGTAAAAATGTACCTGGAGAGGTGTTCCCTTTCAGCCACTTTATTGCTAGACATGTTCTGATAGCTATGGAAGTCCTAGTGGAGGACATGAAAGTAAAGGGTAGTCAAAGAAATCTTCCAAACCTTTTCCTAAGTTATGTGATACTGTTTTCCTATGTGTATGTATTTTTGTCACTTTTGATCTTAAAATTTTGATATGAAGCTTGGCACTGGTGGCTCAC